CGTTATCGCTCTAAAAAATATTTTTTTTAAATGTAGGCAATTACTTCCAACATTGCAACTCTCTCTCTCGCACGACAGCGATTCGGAGCGACGGATGTGAAACAGAAACAGATAGCATTTTTTTAAATACCTACTCTCGCCGCAAATCGGCACTTCACAACACTCTTAACTAGTTTTAGTTGGTAGGACTCTTTCGCAGGCTAGCAGAGTAAGTACCATCCTCTCACCTACGTCTTACAATGTAATTACGGCTGTCCATCTTAGTTCTCGAGGTTTACACGCAGGGTTACTCACAGGTAGACACCTGCGGCCAACTTCAGATAAGAAGGCTGCAGAGTTCAGACGGACTGCGGTACCTACCCACTTACTATAAGGTTCACAGTAGATTCCATTATCATTTCAGTATCATAAAAAAAGCCGTCCGTGTGGTATCGTTGCGTCAATCTCAGTCGATTCTGGTGCTAGCAGGTGCTTGGCATAATGTGTTTTGATGTCAGCGTTATTTATTGCCTACGTATCCATGACGACAACACGCTACAGTTGAAATTGGCAAATGTAACAGACGTTATGTCGGCGTTCAAAATAAATTGGAGTGGACAATATATCCCAACAGTGTGCATAGGTTAATTCGAAGTTGAAAATCATAGCTTGAAAATTAACATTTAGAAAAACTACCATTTTATACCTATAACCTATCTACTATCCCAAAAATAGATTAAAAAATCCGTAAAAGTAGTTTTAATCAATGTATAGTGTTCGCGTAAATATAAGAAATCATTAGACAAATCTTTTATTAAATTACTTTATTTGACAATATACTGAAGACAATATACTTAGTTTTAAAAATAATTCGAATGTAAATAAAATCACAGATTAGTGAAACTTGTTTCGGCACTGACCAATATTGTTTTCAATTCAAATCGCATATATTATCGATCGACCGAAGACCATAAGAACTATAATAATCCTTTGCCAATTAACGCCAATAAAAAAATAAGACGCAACACTGTACCCAAACAAAACATCGTGTTTGTAAACTTTGAAAGCACGTGAATCGGTTGTTCAAAACATAAACGCAATTTTTGTTGATCGAGAACTACGCACTACATACGACACTATACAACAAAATAAAGAATAGTACTACGTAGTAAGTATATACGTTGGAAAAAAAACCGATTAGTATCTTAATAATTTTAAAATAAATAAAATAATGTGAAGATAGAGCTCTGTAACACGTGGCCGAGGAAGTTAAAATTGGAAACTCTCCAAAATCAAAATGGTGCATTCATTGACCTGGGATTTCCTCTAATAAAGAAAATTTTGAAAATATTTATTTAGTTTTCATATTATATCAACCTTCATTTGCGTCGTTTTTTTTATTTTTTGTAAGCCAGTGCTTGATCACAATCCCACCTGGTGGTAAGTGGTGATAAAGCGCTAGATGGTAAAACAGTGTTTACCGTAACCGTAACTTAAAATGGTCTAAGCTAAAAGCCTATTTACTCTTGCCTTGAAGACACCCAGTTTGTGTTCGGAAGTAAAGACAGACGCCGCAAATTATTCCTCTCTTTGTTGTACGTAACAAACCGTTTGGTTTTATTGCCTGGAATATCTAAAGGGGTGAAGACCCGCCGACCACCTGGTTGTTCACTGGTGGAAAAGGGAGGCATGGAATTAAAGCATGTAAAAAAAAATACGTGTGGCACTCGGTGACTGCCGCGGTAAAGCTATTGCATAGCATTTTTTATCAACTTATGCAATTATAATTATTTATTTATTTTATTTATGCAGTTAAGTCTTTGATATTAAATCAAGTTACACTTTTTGAGAGTGGTGACCGATAAGAAAACAATTTTTTTCTCTTATTGAATAAATGAGAAGTTAATATTGTTTAAAATATTTTTAATATCTTACAATACATGTAGGTTATTCAGGAATTTTTATCATTCAGTTAGCAGCTAGTGTACACGCATACGTCTAGTCGCACGCACACAAACACCGTGCCGAACTCTGCCGAGTGCCGAAGTCTGCCGAACTAAAACGACGTTAGACGTACGATGCACGGCTTTCAACGCCACACTACCGTGCCCGTCGGAGTGGGGAGCGTGAGGTTTTTTCGTTACGGAATTTCTGGATTCGGTCCGCGCGCTCAAGGCCCGCGATAGAAGCTATGCAGTAGCTTAAAAATGTTTAAAAAATCATAAAGCTTATCGATTTAAATGAGACATTCCAAGTCAGTCCTCACGGACCCGGCTCAGGGGTAACAAAACACTACCGGTGTTTTGTTACACCTTTTTTGTCTGGAAGTCACGGTCACTTGCCGTTTGCCGTTATAATTTAAAAGACTATCTCATATACTTTTTACACACAAAAAATTCACAGACAATTAAATTGTATTAACATTGTAACAAAGCACTCTATGATATTATCACTCAGAACAAAAAGCAGTTGACGATTATGACTTTAAAAAAATATTAAAGCAAGTTCTTTAAGGGAAAGTCTAATACCTACATTTTCATTCAAAGAAGTTCCCTGACGTTTGGTGTTAATTATTTCGCAGTTCGTTGATCGTTTGCTTTGGAAGCTTGGAAGATCGCCATCTTTGTTTTTTTTTTAAATTTTGAGACACGTGGTTGTTAAACCGATTTAATAATTGTCTAAATATTAGCACGTTTTAAAAATATAACAAATTAAATATCTTAAACGTCCAACTACTAGAAGATCACAAAATTCTCAGAGCGAATACAAGAAAGCCGAAGAGGAAGAGTATGGCACGTCAAATCTAACACAGGTCAGGAGATTTTTAAAACGAAATGACAAACAGACTTACAGTCCACGGTATGGTAAGACTGTTAATAAAAAAAACAATATTACTTTAGAATTACTTTAACAATATTATTTTTCAAATAAAATATTAATTTGAATCCCACTATAAGTTTTTTTTTTGGTTTAAAAAGTTGGCAGCCCTACTCACAAACACGCCTGTCGAGCATGTTTGGCTTTGGCGTATTCTTTTTTTTTATAGAAGAGGGGGCAAATGCGCATACAGTTCACCTAATGTTAAGTGACTACCGCCATCTATTGAACATCCGCAACACTAGGGGAATTGCAAGTGCGTTGCTGGCCCTTTAGAAAGGAGTAAGCTCTTTTCTTGAAGGTCTCCAGGTCGTATCGGTCCCGAAAAATCGCCAGTGGTAAACTATTCCACAGAGAGGCGATGAGCCTGTAGTTAGACGGGTCTGCGCGGTCGCCTTTTTTAGGGATCGGGTGGACGAGAGCCGTCTTCCATGATTTTGGGACTACGCCTAGGGAATAGGAGTACCGGAAAAGACGCGTTAAGACCGATGCCAACTTTGGAGTACACGTCTCTCATTTTCGTTAGGGACAGTTTCCTGGAAAGAACAAAAATTAGATAATTAAGAAAAATAAAAGCCGATTTTGAAGATTTAAATTTAGTAAAATAATTTCTATATAAACGCTTTAGAAGTCGATGCTAACACATAGTTTATAGAAATATTAAGACCCTGACATCAGAAGAGAGAGTAAATAATTTACAAAAATGTATACCGACGTAGTAACACATTAGGCAGGGTGCCCGACCTCGATCTTATTTGCACTCCGGAAAAACGCGCAACAATAATAAAACTGCGTTATTGCGTAGGAAGTTGTATATAAACATAATATTTTCCTTCTTGATTCAATCATACGTTAAACAATATATTATTAATATTTTAACGGAAAAAATAACAATGATCTATGTGTTAATATATTATGTAATGATCGCTCAGAGACTATAAGCGGCTTAAAGCCAGATTGGACAAAAAATCATAGATAAGGCACGATTTTGACGTGTGAGAATTTATTTACTTGTATTTCTTGAAATAATATATTGTGTTTGGTAAAAAATATGCGCATATATAAAATATGTAATAAAATTCTTAATTGAATGGATTTTTAAAATGCTTGTTATTACCTTGATTAAAACTACTGTTACGGATTTTATTACGTTTAATTTACTTAATTTTTATTTCCCCGACGTTTCGGGAGCTTTCCAGCACCCGTGGTCCCCGTGTGACGTGAAAATTAAGTAAATTAAACGCGATAAAATCCTAAAAGTAGTTTTAATCAATGCGTAGTATTCGCGTAAATATAAGAAATTATTATGCCGTTTTTTAAGTTTTGTAAAAACTAGTTTAAAAGTTCTGTAAAACCCAGTTTTATTTAAAAAACTGGGTGTTTTAGGAATAAAACATTGCGAAAACAAGTGAACTCCGCCCGTCGTCCTACCTTTTTTTCCGCTGCTTTGGTGTTGGGCTTAACCTCTAACCTCTTAAAAGTGAAGCCATTGTGAATAGTGTTATTTGGTTCAACCGCTGTCTAGAGGACATTGTCCCTGCAACAATATAGATTTACTAAAATAGAAAACTCCGTAAAAACAGTCGACGTGTTCCGAAAACAATGCGTCGCATATAGAAACGTGTTGCGTGATAATATCACGCGCTTAATTTCAAATATTGCACGTGTTCTATTTCTGCGCAATGCGGGTCGATCGGTCATATAATATATCAGATGATGGTTGTTTATATCGGTTCCTCCCACGTTCGTAATGTAATTTAGTAATCATTTCTTGTAACTGGTTTGAGAATTACGTCAGGTCTTAGGAAGGAGTTGACTTAAGAAAGAGAAATAGAGCAGAAACTTTATTCAATATAGATTATAAATAATACTTATTGAACTCTGTCCTGAGAAGAACCGCAGCAAGAAACTCAGCGGAACTTCTTTTTATAAATGGCAGGGTTGTCCCGTGACCTAATCATAAGAGGACGTTGTTGTCCAAAGACAACAAATAATTATATTTCACATAATAACAAATCAAAATATAGTGAAAAGATTCTGTTGTTCTTGTCACTCCAAACAAAATGCTTTATGATACTAGTTCCAAATTCAAAATAATTTTTACCATGTAAATAATTAAGTATTGTTTTCTTTTTAATCTTCAGCAAGATGCCGTCAGAAGTGATAACAGGGAAATCTCTACAACGGGAGCTGGCTGACTCCATCATACGCATGGTGCCGCTAGATGAAATTCGGATACTTTTAGCTTGTGGAGCTAAGGTAAAAAATATAATCTCTGTTAAATAAAAAAAAAATAAGCTAGCTAACGCTGGTAGGCAGCTATCGATGTGTGCAATATTTGGATTATGAATATAGAATCGACTATCACTAGCGATTTTTCTGGGCGTCTAAGTGATCTTCAGTGCCAACACTTTAAAAGGCTGGCAACTCGCCTAAAATTCCCTGGGTGTTGCAGTTGTCCATGGGCGGCAGTAATCATTACCATCAGGTGAGCCGCATTATCGTTTGAGCCCACTGCTATAAACAAAATACGGAATCTTTATTTCATTCTTTATTAAAGCATAGTGGAAAACCAACAGCAACAATCAATGCAATACAGACTTACACAAGTGATTTGGCTTGAAAGACAGACAAGAAAGAGACAGCTATTTTGCAACCTTCGTTCGAAATTCGAAACCACGACCCTCAGCTCTGCAACTCGTTGCTAACCCGATGAAGAAGAAGTAGAATTGGTAGTTAACTAACGCACGCTCTTGTCCAATTCGTAGGTTAACGAGCCGGTAACTCAGGGTCTCCGGCCTATACACTACGCGATCTGGCAACGGTACCTGGAGGCCACTCGTCTACTTCTGGTGCGGGGCTGCGACGTGAACGCGCGCGATGACTGCGGCTACAGCGCGCTGCATCTCGCCGCTGAACATGGGTTAGTACTGACAGTGTCGGATCCAGGCTGCAATTGGGTGGCAAATTACACTCATTTATAAGGTTTCTTTCCTGGCAAAGCAACTCAAGTAACAGAAAAATTCGTAGGTTTAAATAAACACTAAGTTTTTCTATTTTTGATGGAAGTAAGAGTGACAAAGTTCCATGTTAGTCTGTGACTTTAGGTCCCATATTTATGTGGTACCATAGAATACTGTAATACAGATATAGATTATGTATGTATTATAGTATTCTATGTGTGTGTTTTATAACAAAAAATAATGTGCCAACTGTGATACTTCCTTAACTTATCGTACTCGTTAAAGGGTTAAATTCTAGAATGGTATATTCGGTTTGCGATGGGCTAATCAGCTGTCACTTTTTCATAATTTTCTATCTAAACCCATATTTTTTTGGCTAAACGTGATCCGAGTAGCACGCTGCTCTTTGGACTCTGTCGAACTCATCAGAGATTTTTTTTATAGATTAAGGCTGACAAGCCAGCAAACAGTCCACCTGATGGTAAGTGGGTGCTGTGACCCATAGACATCTACATTTATCCTCAACTGAGAATCAAAATGCAGATGCGTTGTCAACCCTAAGGACTAAGATGGAACGCCTCTTTAGCAATAAGAAGGGTCTCCGGTTCTCTACACTCATCATACGAAACAAAGGAGCATTAAGGTGCTATTTTACGCTGGTATTCTGTGAGAGCGTGGTCCTTCCCCGGTCGAGCCGACCCATTCGTGCTAATGCAATGATATAGCTGCAGTAAGGTCACGTAAAAATGGAATACAGGCGTGACGCTATGTATAGACGAAAATGTGACAAACACTAGTAAACAGTGAACTGTTTACTAGTTTGTTACACTTTCGTTGGTCATAGCATCTACTTACTATCAGATGGACTGATAGTAAGTAGATGCTACGGTCAAAAGACGCCTTATCTCTCCTCTTGGATCGAATGCCTCGTTACCAATAAAAATGATAGGTATCCGTTCCTCTTCATTCACCATTTAAAACACTGCAACAGAGTGCTGCTATTTTACGCTGGTAATGTGTGTAGCGTAGAAGACTATCTGTTGATAGCCTTAGGCTTTTGTTTCCGTGTGCTAGTGGCGACAACCACAGCGTGTTCCCCGACCGACCCGATCCATTGGTGTTGTAGTCAGATTACGCTGCAACAAGCTGACTGGTGGTATTTCGCAGCACCAGTCTATATTACAGGAAAACTCAATAGCTCTGCTCACGCGGAGCGTTGGCCGCTCCAGGAGCTGAACACAACCCGGCGAAAGAATCTCCCCTTTTTCTTTCACTACCAAATACTAATTCATGTGCTCTCCCGTGTCAACTATTTCAACTCAATTCCACGATATCCTTACAGCTACAAGGAGCTTGTGAAGCTACTGCTAGAGAGCGGTGCAGCGGTGGACTACCGACCTGACACCGGTGAACAGTTCCCCCGTACCACGCTCTGTGACGAACCACTGCGTCTGGCCATCAGGAACAAACACTATGTAAGTTTAACTGCCTCGTTGGTGTAGTGGTCGTGTATTGCTGTTCTTGAAGCCCCGGGTTGGGCCAAAGGAAAAATCGCTTACATCGAGTTTTTCTGTTAAGAAACTCTCAGTAGCTGCTCAGTCAGGAAGTTGGTGGTCTTTCACCCCCGTGCCCGAGCCACGTAAAGCCGTTGGCCCTGAGCATGGTCTCTTTCTAGTCGTGTCCGTTTACCGTCCCATCGAACTATAAAAGTGAGGGAATATAAAGTGCACCTGTGCTTGCGCCTACACTCGTGCGCTCTAATCCTGTCCGGCGCAGATAGCTTGTCTCCGTTGAGAACGGTCGCGTTCCGAAATTCTGTCCAAAATTCGGTCAGGAGGACGTTCTGTAAATACGACTGGACTATGCTATGTATGATGGCTTAATAGTAAGTAGTTTAATAGGACCAAGGATTAAGTAATGTAGAAATTATCGCAGAGAGAATACTTTTTGTGTTCTTACAAGGATTAATTAAAATGAACTAAAATCTCTGTAGAAAAGATAATAGCACATTTCCACTGCGCCAAAATAAAATAATGAATACAAAAATAACTTTTAAATGAAAGTAAATGTTGACGCTATATTGCAATTTTTTTATAGAATAAGGGTGACAAACGAGCACACAGTCCACCTGATGGTAAGTGGATGCTGTGGCCCATAGACATTTATCCTTGATTAAGAATCAAAACGCAGCTGCGTTGTCACCCCTGAGGACTAAGATGGAATGCCTCGTTTCCAGTAAAAAAAGGTCTCTGGATCTCTACACTCACCATACGTATCACAGTATTGTCCTGCTATTTTACGCTAAATAAATGAAATAAAATAAAAATACGAAATTAGAAGCACGTGCTAATAAGAATTGCTAATTCATCGTCATTATCATTATAGCCCCTCTCGAGTTCTCAGCTGAACAAAGACCTCCATCAATAAATGCCATAAATACGGTCCTGAGTCACACGCATACAAAGACTTCTCGCATGGTTTACTGGTTTGGCACTCCATCTAGTGGCGGCCGCCATTGACTTCGATTATCAGTACGAGGCTGCCACTTGAGAACCTTTTTTCCCCATCGGTTATTGGTTCTTTGCTTCTGCTCCGTTGGGCTATGTCGGTTACTCTGATTGTTCTGCAAACGTTATCCTTACCGTGAGTTTGCACTGACACGATTTTCACAAAAAGACATGTTTTAAACACCGTTTTCTGTCAATGTATCAAAAAGAGTTTGCATAGTCATAGAACATGTTGTATTGAAATATGTTTGACAGTTTATTGTACATTACATATTTTAACTATATTAAATCTTTATAACTACAAAAACAAATTATTGGAAACAAATTTGTAGAAATATTGTCATGTTGAAAGATAAGTTTGAATATCTGTTGAAAATTTTACACAGTTTTTGTGAGTGCGAACGCCACCATCAACAAAACATGTTGTGTGATTTATTTTATGCGATTTGTTTCAAAACATTACGTGTTGGATTTTTTTCGGTGCAAACGTAGGGTTAAGGATATCTATCTATCACACAGAGAAAGTTCTTTTATAGATCAAGGGTGACAAACGAGCAAACAGTCCACCAGTGATGGTAAGAGTATGTGGTGGCCCATAGACATTTACATCCTCGATTAAGAATCAAAATGCGTTGTCACCCCTGAGGACTGACATGGAATGTCTCGTTTCCAGTAAAAATTTCGATTCCAGTAAAAAACAGCTTTAAGCTGCTATTTTACGCTCTTATCCTGTGAGAGCGTGGTCCTTCCCCGGTCGAGCCGACCCATTCGTGATACAACTTTACATAGTTCTCTCCATAGCTCACTTATCGACCTAAAGCTTCCTCACGAAGCCAGCAGGTCACTGGTCATTTTATTGCTGGCAACACGCTTAGCTATATATACTATCTTATATAAAACGTGATATTTTAATCCGTACTCAAATAATCCATACTCATTTTAGATTTGTGAATTTGTCAGGAAGTGGCTCGTTTACTGTTGGAGCATGGTGCAGATCCCAATAAGCGCTACTTCTTCGGCTCCGAAATCAACCTGGTTTCCGATCCTGAATATCTAGAGCTACTACTTACATTTGGAGCCAACCCTGATTCTAGAGACCGAGCGGGACTGACCCCTTTGATGAAAGCGGCCAGGCAAAAAAGGGTTAGTTGTGGTTTTTTTTTAATATAGCAATGAGAGATTGTGTTATGTTATGAAAGCTGCCTCTAGTCTACTTTCTACATTCTTTTACAATCAGAAAAGAGAATAGATGATTCTCTTTTCTGATGGTTCCTATCAATCATCACCCCATTTCATTCCGTAGGTGTCATAAGAAGCGATTATGGGAGAAGCTGGAAAAATCTTATGCAATTCAAATAAATGGCGATATAACCATATCGCTTTGTAGCGATGAGAAGAGATTATTTGATGCCACAATTTATATCTCTATCTGAAGTGCAGTCTCACAATGGACTTCGAGACGGAAGGTTTTATCGCGCTACTGCTAATACACGAACGACGTAGACGACGTATTGGCAGTATTGGCCTACATTGGCTACACACAATATAACTACAGTGAAACAGTGTCAGCGTTTCATGTGGTCCGTGGTGGCCAAGTGTGGCCTGACGCAGACACTGCCGTAGCAAGTATCCGCCACCGGGCACAACCTGCTTCTCGCTGGCCACCGGTGGCTGTGGCTGTGGCCAGTAGCTCGGTGGCGTGGCTTTATACTTTTATGTCACAGTGTAAAAACTATTCATAGTGGTTTAATGAGAAAACTACGATAGTAGTAGCATTCTTAATAATTATTTATTTTTTTTATGATAAGGGTGACAAACGAACAGACAGTTCACCGGATGAAATGTATACGGAAAGTGGATGCTGTGACCTATAGACATCTTCATCTATACTTGATTAAGTATCCAAATGCAGATGCGTTGTCACTTCTGAGGACTAAGATGTAATGCATCGTTTCCAGCAAACATGTCTCCGGTTTTCTTTATTCACCATACGAAACAGTAAAATTAATTTTCTATTTCACGCTGGCTTTTTGTGAGAGCGTGGTCCTTATTCGATCGAGTTAATCTATTCTTGCCAAACTTTAGAATTTCAATTGTACTTTGAAGACGATAAAGTTTTTTGTATGAAAACTGCAATAGTTTTACACCTCTAACCGATTTTAACAAGGACTTTGAAGTGATATCGCGGTAAAAATGATTCTTGTACATCTGAAGACTGTATTTTATAATTACTCCTTCTCTATTCCAGGGTATAGAAGCCGTGCTGCTGCTGATCAGCTACGGGGCCGATGTCAACGCGATGGCAGACGCTAGAAATGATTACAGGACAGTCATGCACTACGCGGTTTTAAGTGGTACGTTTTTTACAATAGTGGATACAAGTTAACAATTTTCTTGATGTGAGTGTATACTGCAGTCCATAGTCAAAGTACAGCTTACATACGTCCCTCTGCTGGGCTCAGACCTTGATTTGAGAGGGTTATATTTGTATCTGTATTATTGTATATACATCCTATAAATAAAAAATGTAACTGGAACGTACACTATTCACCACAATATAATTTTTCTGTTACGTCCTGAATGAAGGTAGATCAGGAAAAAATGCCTTTTTTCACAAAATGCTGATTTTTGTGAGCGATTTTGTAAAAAAAGGGATTATGCGTGGTAAATCCACGCTTTAGGTATATTATAGTTTTAGCATTATTAGGTCGGTTCGACCGGGGAGGGGCCACGCTCGCACAGAATACCAGCGTAAAATAGCAGCTTAATGCTGCTGTGTTTCGTATGGTGAATGGAAAGAACCGGGGATCCATTTTACTGGAAACGAGGCACTCCATATTTGTCCTCAGGGGTGACAACTCATCTGCATATTGATTCTCAATCGAGAATAAATGTAGATGTCTATGGGCCACAGCATATCCCCTTACCATCAGGTGGACTGTCTGCTCCTATGTCACAATTATTCTATAAAAAAAAAGAAATAAATTGGGAAAATTGAAATTTCATCAGGTAACCCTGACATGGTTAATTTGCTGATCAAGCAAGGCGCCCGTGTCAACTACGACTGCCCAGAACTGAATAAGCCCAGTGCGTTGGACCTCGCCATACTCAGGGGTGACGTTGGGATGGTGCAGATGCTTATGGCTGCTGGTAAGACCATAGGATTCATTAAAAATTTGTACCTATTCCACGCTTTTTTTAACTTCACCTGTTCCGTAGTCGTAAGTCGAGTATGCGTAAGTCAAATCTTGCAAATGAATTGGAAATAGGTTCCGCCTAACCAATTAAGCTAAAATGTTGTGCTGGTGAAAATCTAAATAAAGAACTTAGTTACGTAATTTTTACAAAATGACTTCCGCTACGAGGGGGAAAATTTTATTTTCTTAAAAACCCCTTTGTAATTGTAATGGATTTCAAACGAAAGGATATATCAAGCAGGCTACGTGACGTCATTCTAAATTTAATACGTCATTCTAATATGGCGGGGGCCTAAAGATGGCGAACGTTCTTAGAAGTTCGTTTATTTAAGTTTAATTAAGTTGGTTTTTTCTTTATCTTAGAAACGTCTTATTCGGCAATTTACGATCTTATTATTATAACCATTATGATGAACAGAAAGCGCAAATTATTAAGTCATGAAAAAGTTTGATAAAACTGGTATAATTATATTCAATACAAAAATAATTACTTAAAACACGTAGGTAGGTACCTCTGATAATAAAAATCTTTAAAAACTATTCGGGAAATTTTATTTTTAGTTCAAGTAACATTACAAAAACAGTCATTCAAATTTTAGGAGCACATGTCAACGCGTCCAGCTCGGTAATTGGTTCTCCCCTCCACGTGGCATGTTCGGACAACATTGACAACAGAAAAGAAATAGTTAAAGTGAGTTAAATTTTTAATTTTTAATCTACAATATGATGCGTTTATGGTTGACATTTCGCCTATTTCTGCCACAAATCGCATAGGTACACTTTGTTTTTTGGTTTGAAGGTTCAGAACTTTCGTTAAGGGCTTCGTATGCTGTGGTTAAGAGCTAGTAACCCAGTAACTGTGAGCCACTGCAGTCTGATTCCTAAGAGATAACAACGTATCTGTAGTGTTCTTCTTTTCAAGTGGATTGCAGATGTCCGTGAGTGCACATTGGCCACTGGCGGACTACGTTGGTCATTTTATGCTCGCTTATGCGATAAGTTACACGCTATGGCACCGGTATATTCGAATGTCATTAATTGCTTCTGTGATTTTTTTTAAATAAAATTGAAGTAACAATCAAACTCACATTCCATCTGATGGGAGGTGGCCATGCACATCTCTTGGCAACTTCAATTAAAGAAGGCTACAGATGTGTTGCCAACTCTGAGGACTAAGACAGAATAACTGTCAGTACAGAACATTCACAGATTGAGTCAAGCAAACTTAATTTTGATTAATTCTGATGTAGAAGTATTTATTAAGAAATTTTACTATACGAAAATAAATTATGTACTGAAGTAAGAAAAAAATAAAGTATTATATTCCGAAATCTCTTCAGGAGTATTCACATTTTAAAGAAAGTTTAAAATTCATTGTATTCTTATTAAATAGGCAAAATGTTATTTTAATGACGCAACTCGTCACTTAATCATCGGTGAGTTTTATTTTAAAGGCAGTATGAGTCCGTTATCTATGTCGTTTCTAGATAATGTTTTAGAAAATTCGTTATATTTGTCATAATTTGCGACATATTTTTTAAATACCAAGTTCGGGGGAAAAAAGACCACACAAAAGCCAAAGGAACCCCCCCCCCCACCACCCAACCATTGGGAGTATGATTCCCGAGATGAGTTTTCCAGAAAGAAATAATAAATCTCACTATTCCTACAATTTTTTTTAGTAAAATTATAAATTGTAACGTTTGTTTGGATGTTTTTTCTTGTTTATGGTTCAATCACGTAAAAACTACTGAACAGATTTTAATCAAACTTAGCATCATTACCGGTAACAACGTCAGTCGGTAACTGATCAGAACGGAACATAGGATATATTTTTTGTATAAAAAAGTTTACTTGAGTCGATTTAAGATACGACAAATCTTCAAAACTTTTTTAGGTGAACCGAGATTTAAGCTGGTACTTATCGTATAGTTCCATATAAATTTGATCAAAACCTAACCAGTAGATTTTGAGATATCCTTAATAATACGTATTTAATTGACGTTGACTAGATTGATGATGTTCTCATTTTATTTGTATTGAAGTCAGTTATAAAAAAAAAAAAATTACCACTTGTTAGTTAACTATTGCTTTCAGAATGCATCAAGGGGATATTTTTTGTACACTTGTATCACTAACATATTTTTAAAACGTCAACCTCAACGTCAACATAAATCGCATAAGGACAAACATCTAGACATGAAACAGCTATTATTAGGTCATACAAATACTTATTACGAGCGTCATTTGAACCCGCGGGCCTCAGCGCCTCAACTTAATGCCGGTTCACTTCGCCATGGACCCCTCACTGATATATCTCGTGCGCCACGGGCAACACTTGTCAGGAGGATATCATAATATGCAATAATGTTGCAGCTGCTGCTGGAAGGCGGCGCGGACCCGAACCTGAAGGTGTTGAACGAGGAGGAGGGCGCGCAACTGCGGCCGGCGCTGGCCGAGTACCTCGCCAGCTGCGCGCGCCCTGCCGCCACCATCGTCACGCTGCTGCTGCGCTACGGGGCTCGGGTACGCTTCGCACATACATTTATTATTCATTTATGTGGACACATACTTTGAAAGAAACATGGTTAAAAAAACACATGTACAGAGGCACTGCTTATACCATGTTGAAATTTCTTCCAGCAGGCCTATTGAAGGACATTTGATCCTCTATTTCCTTCCAACCTTTGCCAACCCACCTGCAAAATCCCCTCCCGTTTTGCATTCGCCGTGTTGCGCAATGAACTTTTGATAGTTTGTGATGATGACGATGATGACGAATATCTTTACAGCTTATTACGTTTCACTGCTGAACATAATCCTTCTCCATAGATTGCCTTAATAGGGGGGATTTTTGCCACAGTTGCCAGGCTTGGTAATCAAGTTAGCAAGCGCAGTTTTTTTATTTTTAGTCATTATTAGGATGACACTGCTACCCTCAAACCTTATGATTTGTTACGACACCCACGGTATGGTATCTGAATCATGAAGGAATAGTAAATATTCTTTCACCGCCACGACACGGTAAATACGAATGAATATTCATTAAAATTATAATTAATAAATTCATTGGTATCCACCGGGATTGCTCTTATACTGTGAAATTGCAGCGAGCCATAAGCTTCTGAGCTACTATGGTTCACTTACACGCAATTCCCAGTAATATCGTCTTAACAAAACGGCTTTATAATGATTAATTTGAAAGTGTATTTGGATGTATCTCATTTTATCACAAGGGCCTTGTTTAAAATTTTGCATAAAATTTTGCAGAGACAAAAAGCGTTTCGTTTTTCAATACTCCCTTTACATAATTTTATTTTGAAATTTTTATTCTAATACCAATTTTCATCAACTTATTCACCTTTTTTTTAGGTAATAATGAAAACACAGTTTCGTGACCCCGACGGTATCCTAAATCACTTGCAAAATGTGACCTCTGAGGAATACCAACACATCTTCTACCTCCTCCTAGAAGCAGCTGAAGCATTTGACTTGTGTATGATAAAAAGGAACTCTACACTTACTGCCATTCAAAAACAAGCCTTAATTGACCGAGCTAAGAATCCCATTACCTTATTAGCTCAAACAAGAATTTTCTTACGTAGGTATTTCGGGACTGAGTTGGTCGATATTGTCAAATATTTGGAAATTCCAACTACGCTTCATCGCTATCTGCTTTTTGAATGCAGTTAAAACATTCTTGTAATGTTTCCTGGATTTCTCTTTTTGTTTGACTAAAGGTGTGATATGACATCTTTAGTCAGTTTTGAAGTTTGGCGGCAAAAGTCGTTAAGGTCGGAGGTAATCTCCATGATTTTTGGGAATTTTTTATCGATTCGAAGGTATATCTGTATTCTTAAGTTTTATTTAGTAGTAAGTATACAATATCAATTTCAACGTTTTTTAAAACGCTTTTTACCATAATTTTGAGATTTACGGTACTTTTATAGGTGAGATTTGAACGACCTGAATTTACATTATCGTAATAAAAAAATGCAATGATGTGTCGATCATAGATTATTCTTGATGTATGATCTTCTCTCTTCTTTCGGTATAATGAGAAATTATTATTCAATTATCTTCTACTGTGACGAAAATGGTTAGTAAAATTTTATATATAAGTAAGTTGAGTTAAGGAAATTGTTAGTGTAAAATAATTATTTCGGGTCTAGAATGAATTTTGACTTATATAATTACATTTTACCAGACGTAAAAAGCAACATCAACCGTGTAACGTTACTATAATGCTATATTTACCTTTCTCTCTTCATGTAAGATTCCCTTGGTCTGTCACCTTTAGTATAATTGAAGTACTTTTAAAAAAAAATTCGTCACAAAGAAACTACAAATAAAGTACATAATTAAATAATACGCAATCGCTAACTCTGAGTATGTCATGCATATATTGTAAAACAAAACATTTTGTATCAGAATAGTAATGACAACGTCTGTTTAATATAATATAATAATTATGTATAATAGTTGAGACCAAAGAGTAATTTTGTAATTAATAAATTTACATTTACATCACACTATCTCTTGTAAAGCTGTGGGATTTCTTCTCCCAAACTACTCAACAATGTTGTGATTTATGAGCGATCCCTATTATCTTCATTTTAAATATGTATTCAACGGTAAATAATTACTTACACGTTCACAATGACTATAATTCTTATATTTTTATGCTTTTAAGTAGTCTGAATTGCATACTTATTATGTGATATTTTGTGATACATTTAGAATTAAGTCTTTTCTTGTGACTGAACATTGTTAAAGTCTCAGGCATATTTTCTACTGTATTATTTTAAGGTAAATAAATAAATGTGTGAATAAATGTGGCATTTTATATACTTTAATTCCCGTTCGATTTTACCTTCTGGTAAAATGACTATCCTGTTGCGAATAAAATTTTATTGCATTCATTGTTATTTTAATCATCACTACAAGATAATTATAATGGAAGGTAAAAAAACCTTCCATTATAATTATCTCAGGTAATAAATTTTGAATAATAAATTTTGCATGCCTTAAGTACAAAGCGCGTAAAATATGTTCTACTTGCGCCTAAAAATCTAGAATTCGACGTTTTGTCGTATGAAATCGTATCTAACAATCATATTGAACATATAGGTAAATGATATAAAAAGCACATTGTCAAAAAGATAAATAATTTTTTTAAATAGATTAATTGCTATTTTTACATTAAAAAAGTGGTTTTAGTGGCATATGGTGTAGATTGATCAAGTCTGCATTGAGGGGTAAACACGATAATTTTTGAAAATATCAATTGTTCAACTCAATCCGGGACCCTGTTGCCCAACCAATCCCTGAGTGCTATAGGTTATAATTTGTTTATGTTTCATGCTTTATCCGAGCTACACCAGTTTTATCTAGTCGTAGAAATTACTTATTATAACAGCATTATTTGCGTGCGCTACGTTGTATATAAGTGAAAAAAAATGTATGAAACATATGTCTTTAACTTGTGTAATTAATGTGTAATTAAATTTTGTAATTTAGCAAAAATAGTTGCTTTTATGTTTAAACAAGTATTTTTGAATACTAAAGTAATGTTGAGATGATTATTTTAACTACAAAATCTAATATATAAAAATATATGTTTGTTCGTATTTTATGCGCTGCCCTACCGTTCTTCAGATTGCGGTAAAACTTTGTCATCTTATTGCTTGCATTACTTGCACGAAGCTTATAGGAATAGTACTATCTATTAACTTACAACAGGTGACGCGCGTATCGTGTCGACTTTATTTTAAAGTATTATTACTCCTAATTAAACAATATAAATCTTCCTTTAAAACGATATTTTCACAGATATTTCTTGTACGGCAGCATCGCACTGGCAATGCGCCGGGTACAAAATACAAAATTACTAATACACTAATAAGCTTTGTAAATTTGTAGACCCTTTAACGATGTCCTCATAGATGGCGTTGCAAATGACATCATTTTCTGAATCATGAAGGTTAGAGAACAGGAGAACGATCCACAGAACACTATTACTGGAACGATCACTACGTACTAAAGCATAGCTCGCCTGTCCTTGAAAATTGTAGAATTTATAGCGGCGCTGACGTCGGTAAGTAGTGACTGCGAAGTTAGCTGTTTATGAGTTGTTACAAGTGGTATGGTACAAGTAGATGAAGTTAGTTGAATAATGTACAAATTTTCACTGCGCCATTGGTGAGAAAATTTTCATGCTCCGTAATTTTGTAATTTTTGACAAAGAGAAACATTAAAAAATGGAGAAATATTTTATTGTGCGTGAATGTGCAAGTGGTTTAGCATCTGATCGGAAAAATAGACTGAAAATGACTTTTATTGACTGAACTTAGCGATCGCAGCGCCTCACTTATGGTGTCCATATTTCTGGGACACTATTTTCTACGGCGATCGTTCTCCTGTTCTCTAACCTTCATGTTCTGAATGGTAGTCTCATAATATGCAGCTTTTAGCATTGAGTCCGATGATGCAGTAAAAGTCAACTGGTTAAAAGCACTGATATCACAAAAAAATTAATTATTGTAGCTTTATTTTCTTTTTTTTTTTTTGAGCCCGAAGCAATTAAAGGGCTACCCTATACGCAGGGAGGCGGAAAATGCATTACGCATACCACGATAGCCGGCCTATCGTGGTTATGAGGGGCTCACTGTCCGACCGGGGACCCTAAGTGACACCCTCTAAAAACCGCCTTTGGGGACAGACAGCCGGCTGATTAAGCTCTATTGTGCCTTATCATGAGCGACCCTCTTTTGGGAAAAGAGGGCGCAGGCGGCTACGTGCCGCTGAGGGAGTGCCTACGAAGGCATATTAATGTTAGATATTACAATAATTTAATTTAATTAGAGTTGGCCTGAGCCGCCAGGAGGCAGTTCAGGTCGTTTGTAAGTTTATTAGGCGGGTCCGAGAGAGAGTTTCTCGGCCTGCGGACACGATAGCAAGAGGGGGGTGGGGCTGCATAAGTAGCTGCCTCACGAATTAAATTGGTTTGGGTGCGACTCTGAGGCTTTGAAGAAGTTCTCAGAGAGTTTTTTAAGAAATTCTTGAATTGTTGGGAGCTCTAGTCCCGATGAAGGTCGGCATTACGGACGTACCAAGGTGCGTTCGCAGCTCGACGACAGAAAAGGTTCTGAACTATTTGGAGTTCATTTAAAATGTTAGGGTTTGCGTGGGCAAAGACGGGGCCCGCGTAGGAAATGACTGGTCGCAGACCTTGTAGAGGGTACGCTTGTTTCGAAGGGACATTTTACTGTGTCGGCCCAACATACTGTTGAGCCTACTCAGATAAAACCGTGCGTGACGGGTTACTCTTTTGACGTGGGGCCTGAAAGTGAGCCCTGTGTCCAGAGTGACACCTAAATATTTGGCGGTCGTATGCCAGGGGACAGGGGTCCCTAGCATACGTATTGGTGGAGTGTTTTTGAGACGGCGTCGTTTATAGTCGAAGTGAACGGTGGAGCTCTTCTCCGGGTTCACATCGATGCGCCATTTTTTGAACCAAGCTCCTAGGTCATCAACTGACTTTTGGATCTTGTTCCGTTTGAAGGGCAGTGAGACACCCCTGCAGTATATAGCAGTGTCGTCTGCGAAGAGGGAGAGCTGAACACTTTTCGACGAGATGGGAATTTTCGTTGGTGAACAGGATGTACAGCAGAGGAGCAAGTACTGAGCCCTGTGGGACACCAGCCTTGATAGTTGTGAGGATAGCGTGCCTTTGTGTCTAAAACGAAAGGTACGATACTCTAGGTAAGAGGCCACGAGACGTACTAGGCGATCGGGGAGACCTATTTTGTATAGTTTGTAGATAAGGCCTGTATGCCAGACCCTATCGAAAGCTTTAGCTATGTCGAAAAAGACCGCGATGGTCTTATGACGACGAGGATAGAAACCGCTGAGGATATATTCCACAATGCGGTGAACTTGTTGGGGACATGAGTGTTGGGCTCGAAATCCGAATTGATGGGGAATGATAAGAGGGTCACCGTCTGTGGGAAACAGATAGCGCCTCATACGTGATTGGATGACTCTTTCGAAGAGCTTGCCCATTGCCTTGAGGAGGCTAATGGGTACGATGACTGGAGGGGAGGTTAAGAGGCTTGCCTGGCTTGGGGATTCAAATCACAGTTGCCTCTTTCCACGTAGTGGGAAAGTAACTAAGGTTGAAGCAGGCGTTGAAGATAATAGATAAAAAGTTTAACACCTGCTCAGGAAAGTGTTTTAGGGCTTGGTTGGAGATGCCATCCGCGCCCGGAGCCTTTTTAGGCTTAAGTCCTTTGATGAGGGATGAAATCTCATCATTGGACACAGAGATAGGTTCGGAGGCCGTAGGGGGTGAGTTCCGGCGGCGGACCTCATCCTCCACTGCCTGAACGTGTGAGGGGTCGACGGGTTGAGAGCTAGGAGAGCATTGTGCGGCAATGCTATCTGCAAAGCACTCAGCCTTTTCCTCGTCTCGAAGGCAACGTCCGGGGACGAGGGGGGGGCCCCCGGCCACTAAGGAGTGAGGAGAGATATTCTCCATGAGTTTACTCTTTTCGAGGTCTCGAAATTCAGAGAGGCGGAAACGGAGTTCTCGTTGAAGACGATTGGCCGCGCGCCTATATTCGGGGTGGGATATTTTGCTGCTCTCCGGAAAGCAGTTTTTGTGGCTTTTAAAGGTTACTAATATGTAGGGG